GACACTGGTGGGGGAGGGAAGGGGGTACACACACACGGGGGGGGAGGGAAGGGGGTACATGGAGAGGTGAGGGGGACACACAGAGATCAGGCAGAATTCAGGGGTCATTACCAGTCAGGTACGTCAGGCACTCCTTGTAGCCCTCCCTGTAGGGGTCGCACTTCTCCACCGGTAAGCTGCCGTCACTGAAGGTCGTGGCAAAGATGGCGGCACCATGACGCACCAGCGCGGTGCAGATCTGGAGGTCGTTACAGGAAGCCGCGCAGTGCAGAGGAGTCCTAGAGAGAGGAACGTCGTCACTCATCAGCCACTTATCTGCCCCAAGGATCCACCCCCCACGTGCCCCGATACCCCAGGACTTGTATGGCACCAACAGTACAATGTACAACGCAGAAGGGTCCTGATCCGGAGAGCTTACAATCTAATAGGGAGGGGCCAGTGGGGAAGTGGAGGAGGGGTAGACTTCCCTGAGGAGAGGAGATATCTGGACAAGTTGGGGTAGGGAGTTCCAGGGGATGGAGAGTCCTGGAGGTCAGTATGGGGGAATGTGACAAGGGAGGGGTGGAGGTCCTCGGAGGAGTGCAGGTTGGGGGCCCCTATACATGTCTGGGGGCCCCTCTCCATCAGGTTTCCAGCCATATTTGTGGCTCCTTAGGGTTGTCCTGGCACACGGTTCTGCCCTTTGCCCTCCCCCATCCCCCCCCTCACCATCCATGGCTGTCCGCCGCATTGACGTTGGCCCCGCTGTTGATGAGCAGGGTGACGATGTGGAAGTTGGCCCCGCAGATGGCGTTGTGGAGCGCGGTGATCCCTTCCTCGTTGGGCTGACTCGGATCATTCACCTGAGACAGAGAGACGGGTCAGTGGGAGGACCGGCCGGGAGGACTTCAGCGGCTGGAGACGCACATAGTACCTACCTCTCGCAATGCCTGACTGACCACGTCCACCTCCCCGCTAAGCGCGCCGTCCAATAGCAGGATCAGGGGGTCCAGGCGGGCGCGGCGGGGGCGGGGCTTGCAGGGTGAAGTCTGACCCTTCAGGGCCGAGCGCAGCTCCTAAAGCAGAGAGAGAGAATAAGAGGAACATGTGAGTGCCGTCACCCCCATAACAACCGGGGACCCCCCCACCGCCACCCCCATAGCAACCGGGGACCC